GCTGCACCGACTGGTTTTGCTCCTCCGGAACTTTACGTAAAAGGAGCCTCGTGCCCGTCAACATAACACGCTGAGATGCGCGTGGCACCGTGGCATCGGTAACTTACTGCTTGGCCCGTGGGCCTGGTCCGCTCGACTCGCTGCTCTGCGTCAGGCTCTGTGACCTGTGGGCTGTGCCTGTCTGTGTCATCTCCTTTTGCTTCTTTTAAGTAAATACTAAGCCGGTGTCCAGCGCAGGGCCGCTGGTGCAGTGTTGAGGGGCCCTCCCCGAGCCCCCTCCCAGCCCTGGCTCCGTCCGCCGGCCCCTGCCCCCAGAGCATACATCCCCAAGTGAGCCGGGGCACAGGGGCGCCTCCGCCAGAGGTTGGTATTTCTGGTCACTTCCTGGTCCCCAGGAGCACCCAGGCCAGTCACTGGGTCCCTTGCACAAATGCACATCCAGGGCCAGGGCTGGAGACCGCCAGGCAGACGCACATGCGGAGGAAAGAGACTGGCCGGGGCGAGGCCACAGCAGGGAGAGACTGGACTTGCTCCGGTCGCTTCCTTTGGCTTGTTCTCAGCAGATCGGGCGGTTTTGTGTGGGTCAGTTTCGAGTGGGGTGGCCGATGATCTCTGCAGCAACTCCCTCCCGGGTCCTCTTCCAAAGGAGGAAGCTGAAGCCAGGGCTCTGGATCTGGGGGTGGCCGGGACTGTGGCCTGTGCACCCCCCACGCCCCTGGGCTGAGGTGGTCAAGGTCAGCGGCCTCCGCTGACAGGGAGGAAAGGGGCTGCCTGTTTGCAAGTGACTGGCACCCAGCGTTTGAGATCAGTGGGTTCCCGACCGCAGTCTCAGCTTGGGGGAGTCATCCTTCCCGTCGCCCCAAAGGCTAGCTCGCTCTTCTACCTCGTCACGTTTCGCCCATGGACTGCTCCGCGCCCCCTGGCCACTGCCCATTTTTGAGCTAATCATTGCCAGGAGCTGGGTTAAAGATTGGCCTGTCCGGGCTCAGCTGGCCGTCCTGCGGCTTTCCTCAGGCTGGACTGACGGGGACGCGCGTCCTCTGAGGCACGGGACGCCTCGCTGGGCACGGAGCTTCCTGCTCCCCCTGGCGTGAGCTCTGTTTTCATAACTCACACAAGCCCGAAGCCTAAAGACCGCAGAAAATTCCAGAAGGTTCTCAGGTGTGCTCCGCCACAGCCTCGCTCACTGCAGCCGGCCTCTTGCTTTGGGGGGAGAGCAGGCACTGCTTATGGAGACATTGGGGTGCGGGCAGAGCCCCCCACCGTGAGCGGACAGCTTGCTTTGCCTGCGATGGGCTTCCGGGAGAGGCTCAGCAGTCGGAGATAAGGCTGCAACAACCCCCCCAGAAAACAGAGGGGCCTGCGGGCGGCTGCCCACCCTGGCTTGGGGGCCCCTGCTGAGCTCTCTGGGTCCCCCCGACCGAGTCGGGCCCCCGTGTCCTCGACCACGTGTGTCGTGTACTTTGTGTG